CACTTTATTCTCTGATCCAGATCGTTTTAGTTTCCTTGGATACTCAAATTTTCAGGTGGGTGCGACTTTTATTTATCATGTCTCTTCAAACTGGGGTTTACGGTAATGAGCCCTGTGCTCAGTTCCTCTCGAACTACCTAGACTTTTACTATAACAGCGGTATAATGCTGACGGTCACTATCCTCGACATTATTGTATGCCGACGACTGAGGTCGATGAAGCAGGTGGTATTTCTTACTTTTGTCGTACTTGGGTAACGCAATTAAAAGCGGTTTCGTGTCGGGGTGCCTCCGATTTATCTGCATCTCACCCAGTCGTCGGGTACCACTGAACCTGTCATCGGGGTTCAGACTGAGGGTGGATCTGCACTCGCTACCGGGATGCATATGCGTGAGTGGGAGACTTCCCGTAGAGCTTGGCACTGCTCCGCCGCGGCCTATCCATCGATCTGTTAGATGCTCCGGAGCCGGTTAGTTCTGACAGGGCATTCCTCACGAAGATCCTCGGTGAATGACCACCAAGTACCGAGCATATTTGGATAAGATTATGATTGTCGTCGGCTCCCACTAATCATTACGTGTGATACTCTGCTTATGTAGTTCTAAATGTGATCGCCGTCATCTTCTTGTCCGGCTAGTTTTTGGTTATAGGCTCATTTAGCGCTGTCACATGACCACTTCTCAGCTCGCGTCTCAGCTGCTTTTCTCGCATGTATGGCACGTGCGCGTCGCCATGCGCGTTGATTAGACCTCAGTACATGCCTCACAGGATGCCACAGATATTTCAGGCTATGCGTTCTAATGTACTATACTTACAATACTACTTCGCTATTCGGCCTCAACACTTATTCGATGATTGAATTGCTAGCACAGAAAAAAGCATAATATTTCTAGAACATATACTGCGATCCTACGGATAATAAGCGATGACTGTAATATCAAATCTGGTGTTTTGTCGACACTTGCTCGAAGACTCTCTTGCTTTTCACGCGTACGAATTATGTATACCCTCGTGTATGAGTACATTTCTAGCTGCGTATCAGGAGGAGTGCGATGCGCCCTGTGCTCTGGACAGGATAAAACTTGTCTATCACGTACCTAGAGGAGTTTCGGCTTGGCAGCGTGTACATGTGTCCGTCAGAGCGTTTTCATGAAAAGTCCTTATCTTTTACCTTTATCAATGTGTATAACAACTTTGCATCTCTTTGCTCACTCAGTATCATACTGTCAAGCAGTCACTAAAACTCCAGTAATTCTCTAGTGTGACTAGAGGCACTTTCATCTGAAGCTTGCACTCCCTTTAATTGTAACATACAAACACTAGCTATCGTTCTCTCTATCAGGCTTCTATAGTGCTTATCTATCAATTCTCTTTGCCACCACCGTCGCTATCTCTACCTTCCCTTGATAGCAATTTGTGAAACCAAACGCTAACTGATGCTGTGTAACCGCGTTATGACGTATGTTGTCCTTACCATTCTAACTCCCTTTATTAGCGGCTAGCAGTTCTTGTCACCGACATATTCCATGCTGCCACAACCATATCATACCTTGAAAAAACGCCCCAGTGCTTCAATCGGACAGCCCCTCTGCTCCTCTCATCCTTGCTCTACTTCCTTCTCTTGCGGCATGCTAGATCGGCTGAGGCCACGCAGCAGGGGAAGGAAGCAGCAGGGGGGGCGCCCAGTGCTCCCCCCCCCTCTCGGCCCACCCACCCTGCCCCCGCCACTAGCACACGTCCAGCGTCCACGCCAGCGCCTCGTGCAAGGCTCGGCAGTGTAACGAATGGTGCTTTAGCGGACGGCCGATTATCACGATCAAACATGGATTGAACTCCGCCCACCGATTTACCTGTTTCCTAGCTGGTCGCTTTCGCCTCGATGCGATATCCGTGATGAGCCCTTGGTCGCGGTGTCTAACAAGAACGAAGTCGATCTGCGTTCTGGAACCTCCACTGTAGAAGCTGATCAGGTGGGAATCACGCTTACGAAACCTTGTATTCGCGATGACTAGGTCATGGGCTTCCGCATACTCAAGGATTTGCTCCCCATCAGCGTTACGTGGTTCATAGCAAAACCACCATGACACCTGAACCCGTCTTTCGTAGCACCTACGTACCCATTTAGTTCACCGGCAACAATTACGACGTCTTGTGACGGTATCTTAGCTGTCTTCTCTTCAAGCAGGGACCAGAACTCGTCCTTGGATCGCTCGGAGCATCAAGTTTGTGGAGCATAGGCAGAAAAGCAATGATACAGCCGCTGTTTGATAGCAATGACGATCTTTATCAGGCGGCCGTCAAAGCGTTCTACGCTTGCTATCGAGTCCCGAAAATGTTGGGATACTATTACAGCCACTCCATTTGTGGTTTTCGGTTTGAAACATAGAAGGGCTTTGAAGCCTCGACCAATGTCACTTGATTTGCAGCTGGACCATTTCGTTTCCTGCATCGCACACAGGTCTATACGTCTGCGCTCCAGTGCCTCTGCTAGCTCACATGAGCGCCCCGTCAACGTACCAACATTCAACGTTGCTACGCGGATCTTTTCAACGTTACAGGACTTCTGAACTAGCCTGGTTGCCCCCAATGCCGTCCTTTCATCAGGGACCCTCGCATACTTTCCACACTCGCCGGACCATACGAGTGCGCGTCGGCTCCCGCGGACGCCGTAGCATTGACTCGGAATTCATATGGCATGTTGAACATTGGTGATGTGAGTTGGGTGCTCGTAGGCCGGCCCGTCACGAAAGCCTGTCACCTGCTTTCGATTGTCCGCGTTCGGCTCATCCCGCAGGAGCGGGCAGTTTCCAGTGGCACCCGTGGAGGAGCGGACTTCACCACCTCCCTGACGTCAGGTGTGCTGCACACTATGATTTCAATACAATAAAAACATTCCCGAAGAGATTGAATAAAGAATTCAAAATTTGCAACAGTTTGAAAATAACCTTCAGGTTATTATAGAGAATTGCAGCTAATAGTGACTTCGAGTTGCTGTCGCAGGCAACTGATGAGCCTCTTGAAGGCAGTCATGGCTACTGTGATTCGTAAATAAGGCCTTGCTTTGAATAGGAAACTTTCTCGAATTTTTGGATTGAAAGCAACCAAAACCACTCTGAAATGTGCTCTTTTGGTATCGTACCGTTGAAAAAATGTGAATAGCTCCCATATTTTCAGCCCAAAATTGCGTAGATATCACCGCTTCCACTTTTCACTCCTGATGATCCCCGCAAAAGATAGGGCGTGTGAAGGGGTCCGAACTGTAATGCAGCCAGAACAGCTTCTCCCGCCACTTGTTGCGGATTTCATGCGTGGGATAAGGCACCTTCGGAACCGAGTTTCTTCAAAAAGAAACCACTGATAAAGGTGAACCTTGAATGGAGCAGTCATTCGGTATATCGACTCATTTTTCACATGTCGTCTCACTGACCACCAAAGCTTTTGAACAGGCGGTTGTTGTGACGTCCCTGTTGTTACTCGGTCAGCCAGGTAGAATCTCGCAACTCCGAAGCGTTTTATTTACTTGGTTCAAAATTTGCATAAAAAGTCTGAAAAAATTGTCGGTTTTTTGTTCGTGATGGTCTTGTTTGAAGCACAGTGGGTTCCAGTTGGTACCACTCCAACCAAACCGTCATCAGCAGTCACATGATGTGCCCAACGCCATGCAATCTTCGACACCTGGCAATACGGCAATCGGTGATCTTCATCCGTTGGCGAAGTTCAAAGTTATATGTAACATCCTGTCAACAGCGCGTCGGCTAACCCTGACCGCATACTCATCCTGCTTGTTCAGGGTTCTGATCTCTGTCTCGGTGGCTCCTCGTCCTCGCCATGTTTCAGATGAATGACCCCGCATCTGTAATCTCCGGTGTGCGCGGGAGTGGGGCTGCTGAGTTGTGATACACGATGTCAGCTCCGTAATCTGCTCGCGCTGTTCACGTCCAGCTACAGGGCTAATCGTGGCAAACCTGCTACTCGTCTCCGCATTTTCAGATCTATTTGCTCTCTAGGCAAGCGGTATCCGGGCGTCAGCGTCTCCCGCCCCGTTGCACTTTTGAGAAGAGAAGGTACGCTTCTGCAGCTGTGTACCCAGTTACCTTGCACATGATACCGACCGTCCTCGGAGGTGAGTGCACAGTTTGTCTTTAAAGCGGGGGCATTACCGAATCGAAGAGGTGGTGTCACATGACCGGATATTGTTCTTAGTCGATGTTTTTTATTGCTCCTATGCCGCTCGTTTCCTCCCTCTCAGCTCTAGAGTTTGCTAACTAATACAAACATGATATTCAAAGACTGGGCCCGCGTTCAAATCTGATGAGTTATGCGGCTCAGATAGAAATAACAAGGTTGCAAACAACCCTGTAGTGAAGAAAAATTGAAAAGAATTTATGGGAAATGCCCTATATAGAAATGCCGAACTGCGGTTGTACGTGCATTAGGCGAGAATAAGCTGCGGTCGCGCGAGTTTCAAGGTATCAGCTGTTTTCCCTCATCATTTCACTCTCACCATTTGGAAAGGACAGAATTAGTACATAGCAGAACTACCGCACCACCAAGCAAGCACTGGAAATGAAGTTGGGCGTAGTGGTGGCCCTAAGGGCGGAGCGACTAACTATCCAGTAACGACGGCGCTATCTTCTCGCCTCTTTGAGGTACGAAACTAGTATAATCCTCTGTCTTTATAGGGAGGGCTACGTATCCGAAGAGGGCGTGGAAACATCATATGAACGCGGCCTTTAATGACCAATATTTTCAGGTTTGCTGCATCTGCTTCTTTGCGCTCGACCACCGCAGGAAGATTGTCGAAGGCCAACAGTGTTTCTGCGGTGGAGACGGAAGATTTTCATAGAATCGAGGACAAAGTCGTAATTCCTACTCCGCGGTACTGTTTGCGCCTTGCAAGCGAAATATACTTAATAGTGCGGCCCTCAGAATTTTTGTTTTACGGAAGAAACACTGATGTACAAAAGGTCACCCTGAAGCTGCGTACGAGATGACCCATGTTAGAGTGGTGCATACGAATAACTAAACATTGTCGTTGTGAGAGGTATCAATGTGTAGTAGACGATGGTTAAAATCAAAAGAGCGCCCGAGCAGGCAATGGACTGAAAGCAAACTGCTCTTTCCTTCAAAAAAAGGTCTAAGAAAAATCCTGTAGAGAAGCAAATATTGATCGCTTTGGTGTGCGTGTTGAGCGTTTCTGATGGCCTGACTTTCAGCCACATCCCCTCAAAGAGCTAGAGGTCTAAGTTTTGTTTTCGACTGTTGGGCTACGCTTGGCCTTTGGGGGTACGCTGCGCGATCAACTTGAAGGTAGAAAATCTGCCATGAATTGGGATCAAACGCGCGCTGGCGAGTGAGACAAATATCAGGGACTTAGGACCAGTACAGCATTGTGATGTGTGAAATAGAGGTGTTGGTGCGACCATTGGAAATTTCCTAATCTGTACGACCCCTTCTAGCCATTCCCCTTCCTACTTATCATCTTCGTGAATTTGAAAATTTTGAAAACATCCTACCACCTCTCCAAATTTTCCAAAAATTCCCCTCGTGATTTTCCCAAAAACAGCGCTGAGCGAGTAATGAGATATACAGCGCTGGTAAAAAGGGAAAAACGCGGAAAGGCAACAACCTGAAAATCCATCGCTCGACGATAAGCTCCAGTAAGGCCAAACATCTACCCCCCCCCCACCTCCTCCCCCATCGATCAAGCACGACCGCTCCTCTCCAGTGACCAGGTACGGCCCTCGTAACGGGATTCTTAGAAGGACAACTTGTCCCACATTACGATTGATCCCGAGATTTTCCAGACGCGCTTAACGCACGGGAAGAGCTACATATGCAACAGCTGTGTTGCAACAGCCACTGAGATTCGCGTTCCTATTGTTTCTGTGGTTGGGTGCTCTCTCGTCAGCGGTCTTGAGGATTCTCGTTTGCGCGCTTCAGCATCGTCATGTGTAAAAATGGTTAGGTGCGACCTCCCAAAACTTACTCCTATCGTACGACTCCTTCCCGCCACTATCCTATCTATCACCTTCATAAATTTTTAAGTTTCGAAAATTACCTACAGCTGCGGAAGAAAACTTTGAACAAGCTGAAAAATGGAAATTTTCTGTTATCCCCTGATCCCTTGAGATATCACTTTATTTTCCTTGACTTATGTGACGAAATGTTGTAGATGTAGGCGACGTATGCCTGTAAGAGCTGTTTTTAAATCATTAAAAACGACCCCAAGCAAGCACAGAAGTACGTCACCTAAAGCCAGCATCCGGATGACAAAATGACCGAGTAGAAGTCTCCACCTCATCCACTTCATGCATCTTTGGGATAACTTGAAGCATGAGTCAAAGGAAAGAGGGCCACCAACACGAGTGAGCAGTTTCACGCATTCCAAAGAATTTGAATAGAATACTCGTGGACACCCCCGAAGCTCCTATGGAGTTGATTCAACGGATGATGAAGCCTCTAGTCAAGTTCTTTAGTAAACAAAATTCGGAGCACTGAATAGCTCATTCTCTTCGAGTTCCCGCTATCAGCTCACCTTTCCACAATAACTTCAGAGCAGTTTGCGACGTGATTTTTCTGGCTTGTTTTGAGTTTTTTTCCGCAGCTTTACCTCTTCTCCTAATTCTGAGAACTTTCCCAATGCTTTTCTAAATAAAAATTAAGCCGAACGAGAGGACTATATGGCGCGGAAAAAAAAGGAAAAACCCAGTCAAGTCAAATAGTCAACAATCCGAAAAAATCTTCTGTTTCTAAAGAAAATTTCTGTCAAGACCAGATACGCCACCCCCGCCCCCATCGACCGAACACGATCCCTCCTCGCTAACCCAGGTACATCCCCCCCCTGCTGGGATTCTCTGAACAATAATTTACCATACTCTGCACATCCCCAGGATTTCCAAACACGCCTTCCTTACAGGAAACAACCATATGCAACTGCTGTATTGTAGCGCTACTGAGCTTCGCGTTCCCATTGTTCGTGTGATTCGATGCTCTCTAGCCAGCGCTTTTGTGGTCTCTCGATTGCGCGCTGAAAGTTCCGCTGCCTAACCCCTGTTCAATTTCACCTTGCAAAGCACGTCAGTAGGCGATCAAAGGTCGTGGGTTGGCAGTGGGGTTTGAATGTTAATGTAAAGGTGCCAAGAAATTCAGTGTTGAAGGAAAAAAAATCAGAAGAGACCACCTTTCTAGATAACACCCTTTAGTGAGGATCCATCTGGTCTGAGCTTGTACGAGAGTACGGTGATTACGGCCCATTTCAATGTATTCCACCCTGTAACCTCGTCGTCACAGGAAACTACCGCTTTCATGCTGATTCTTTGAAGTGGAATCCTTAAGAGTACGGAACAAAACTTTTGTTAGCTCACTTGTAGGAAGAACATTAACTCCTTTGTGTTCCATATAGCAGCTACTCTTTGCCCTCCATTAGCTCCATTGCGAGGAACGCCTCCCTGCTTCAAAACGTTGTATCTAATTTACTGAAATGAAAACTCATATACTACTTACGCGAAATTTCGAGTTATGTGAACAGCCACTCACTCTTGATTGGCAATAGGCCATGCGACCTCATTTTCAAGCACATGTCGTGATTTCGTGCGACGTTTTTAAAGGCACTTCTCGTGTCTGCACATCGTAGATAATGAAGATCAAAAACAGTAGTACCTTTTGGTAGTTGCCTTAGCAGTGAAGAAAAAAGGATCGAAAACCGTCCTCGATATGGCTCTCCTTCTTGCGCTTGATCATAATCACCGGACGAGCGCAAGATAATCAAGATCAGCAATAATATGCAGAAGGTGAGATACACTGCAAAGCAAAGAGAGACCAGAAATTGACGGACGAGAGAGCCCTACGGTATTATTAAAACGACACGGGCAATGTAGGCCGGCGGGGCCTAAAATCGAAGTTTCCAGTGCTCTGCGTACTATGATGTTCACTGGCGCGGTGGTGGTTTAGTGACAAGGGGCGCGCTTAACACGTGTGCGATGTCGGGTTCAGATCCCGGGTCGACTCCCGCCCAGACCAACCAAGCCTTCTACCCTCCGGGGACGTTGAACTGGTACCAGGTTCGTCTTGAGAAACTTTGACTTATACATCGGCTGGCCTCTACAAGTCATGGTATAGGCCACATCGCATTCAGTAAGCCACTGCGATTCTGAATGGAAGTGGAATGCGTGCCGTATACCACAAAGGGGTTGATCAACGGCGGAGACTTCTTCCTTCATCCTTTTCTACTAATTCATGACGTCGTTGTGAGCGGCTATCATATTATGTCATCGCCCGTTCCCCACTTCTGCGCTGGCAGGTTGCTTCTGTCTTGTGTGGGTCACTTCAGGGGTTCTTCACATGGAGGCCGGAGTATAGGATAAGTCTTTCATCATTGAACCTGAACGACATCTGGGTATCGCTGCAATCTCACCTCAGAAATGTCCCCGCGCTTAGACAGCGTTCATACTTTGCGACAGCAGCGACGATCGCGGCGACCTCGGCGATCGCCGCGATCGCAGCTATCGTCGGTACATGGCAGAGCGCGCCCCAACGCTATTACTTGCGCTCCGAAGGCTTCTGGGAAGGAGCGACTCAATTTCATGCTTTTTTTCCTTTAACTGCAATTTTCTTAGATGCTGAAGTTTGGTTTGACACAAAGAAAGGTAAACAGGACACAATGGCGCTTGTTTTCTATTCCCTTTGTTGATTCAGGATAGAAATGAGCGAAAAGCGTGACAGCTTCATTTAGGATAGGTTTTTATTGTTTCCCTTTTTATTCGTCGAGCTTATACATGAGGTTATAAAGTTTTCACCTGTTGATGTTGCGTAAAATGAACAGTGTTTTGGCCGCTAGGGGAGTGTCTTTCTGTTTCTTTTTTTGCTTTGATGTTTAAACTCGACTTGTAAACTATAAATGTTTTGGAAGTGGGCACAGTTTGGACGATAGGAACTTTTAAGGCGCACGCATAAATTAAAACAATAAGAAAACAAAAGAAACAAAAAGAAGCTCACCCAGGAAGTGGAGTTGGCCTCATCCTGACCTGAAAAGAAGCGGAACCTCCTTACCTCACATTCCAGATCTGCTTATGTATAGAAAGTCGTAAGTTATCAGTTAGTAGCCATTATTCAGAAACCGACGATCGCGGCGATCGCCGAGGTCGCTGCGATCGCCACTGCTGTCGCGAAGTACGAACGCTGCCTTACGACCCCCCTCCCTCGAGGTTAAATACGACCCCCTCCCGTTTTGATGATCACAACGATGGTGTGCTCTGCTGCAGAGGCGGCGCTGACGGTAAGGCCGTGCTAGCGCATTTAGTGGGAGTATCAGACGCTGCTAGGCTGCAGAAGCGGCGGTGACGCTGGAGTATCGCTGCTGAAAACAGCAGCGTTCGAACCAAATACACCGTTTTTTGGTCCTGTAGGACTACCAGACGACATACTCAATGTGTCGTCTTGTGGTCTTACAGGATCTTCGTGAGGATTGGCCCTTTCAGGCTACGGCTGCATTCAGTCGTAGGCGGGCGAAGGCAAGCTCTCGGGAAGTCCCCACGCATGATCCCGTAGCGAGTGCAGATCCACCTCAGTCTGAACCCCGATGACAGGTCAGTGGTACCCGACGACTGGGTGAGATGCAGATAAATCGGAGGCACCCGACACGAAACCGCTTTTAATTGCGTTACCCAAGTACGACAAAAGTAAGAAATACCACCTGCTTCATCGACCTCAGTCGTACGACTACAATAATGTCGAGGATAGTGACCGTCAGCATTATACCGCTGTTATAGTAAAAGTCTAGGTAGTTCGACAGGAACTGAGCACAGGGCTCATTACCGTAAACCCAGCTTGAAGGAGCATGAATAATAAAAGTCGCACCCACCTGAAAATTTGAGTATCCAAGGAAACTAAAACGATCTGGATCAGAATAAAGTGACTTCAAATTAATTACCTATTAGGGTTACGATCCAGTAAGATACTAAAATAACAGCGATCACGACTATGATACCATATGTCCTGCGAATAGAAAATATCGTGCCATATCGTAATTGATACGTGATTGCCACGAATCTGCACGTAAAGACCTCTACAGCGGGCAATGCTTTCTTTGACAGTAAACTTAAGAGAGGGCGCGTGTCCGTCACATGCTCAGGGAGCCAGTGAGTGAGTTCACCAGCGGAATCCCAAGTCCCCCATCAGCTTTGGGGTACATCAGGTCTCGTCCTCTCCCCACTCTTTTTCGTTGTCGTCATGGTTCTATCTCACGAGTCGACAGAAGTGACTTAGACGCTGCTTTACGCTGATGATGTGATGGCTGCCTGTGAAGATAAGAACGCACTGATACAGCAGGCTTAAGCTTGGCGTCAAATCGCCTGGCGAGTTTGAACTCAGGTTAAACGTCAAAGATTTAAAGTGCTTGACAGCCGACCCGAATAAGAAATGATATCCAACCCTTGTCAATGTATCATTGTTCATTTTTGAAGGAAGACTTCGCGATGAGCTAGCGAAAAGCTTGAGATCAGTGTGCGAAGGCGTATACGAGGATCGATATTCTTTCACACATGGCTACTTCGACATATAACAATTTTTTGGATAGAAATGAGAGCGATCTATCTAAGTTATACTGGTTTCCAGTCTAGGATCTAATTTCTCTAAATTCACCCTAAATTTAAGTAAAATGAACTCTGATCTACATATGCGTGGTTTCTAGCCTCACGAGCGAGACCGTCGAGCAGAAAAAAAAGCTGTTAAGACATTTCACGACGACTCCATTAATATCTCGATACATGACTCGGATATCAGCGTACCTATTAATAGAGATGAATAAAGTAGAGTGTATTGCCATTGCGTAGAAACCAAGCGTCACTTGTCCTAGCCCCAGGTTCAAATAGTGCAAGTTGTTTGGTACAGGCCTAAATGCAGGAATGTTTCAGCGAACTGTAAATCTAAAGACGCCTTTGAGTACGAGAATTCCTCTTAACGTAGTTTAGCGATTGGAACAATCTAGGTGGAACTTTGTACAATTCAAAGAATGGCCTGAAACGTGCCTTTCAATGAATGCCCTAAAACGTACTGGATACATGAGGGGAGGAGTGCAAGTCCTCCGACAGATACGATCTTCATCAACTCACAAGCGGTATATGCTACTGTAGGAGCGGTGAACATGTCAAATGTCTAGTAAGTTACTCGTTGAGTATCGTTTTACCCAACAATTTCAAAATCAATGCATTGAGCCGACGCTTTTGAGCTAAACAAATTTTCAAAAGTATAAATTGGAAAAGTTGATACTTTTTCGAAATAAGACTCTCAAGAAATTGTACGGCACCGCAGAAATGAGAAACTCATAGAAGAGTTTGAAGATCGTCTATAGATTCCTCATACACCTTAAGTGTAGACCTTAGCAAAAATCTAATGATCCCAGCTAGCGCCGAAACCTAATATGGCCAGATGAACTCACAGGGAAACTTGCTACACTCCCGTACAGGAGTCTTGTATTCGGGAAACGTATCGCATTGTTGTTGTACACGTATGTATTGTTCGGAAAACGCTTATCAGCAGCCATATTCTTGAGCTTGGGCGCCACAAGGTGGAAGGTTGCTCTTCTTCAATGGTGGCGCGCCCTGCACATACCGGGAGAGAGCAATATACAGCCTATTAAAGGCACTTGGCACGATAATTTCATGTACACTTTGAAAATGGCAAAGGTGCCCAGTGATGCAAAAAATAGTGAAAAAACGGTGCGAACTGCTGGTGAAACCAGAAAACGGGGGCTTTATTTCTTTGCTGCACTGGGGCACTAGACGAGTGAACGGCTGGGGCGGGCGCTGCTTTGGACGAGTCTACCGATTGAACCGCTTACTGCTGGTAAAAAGTCAGCAGTACGTTCTACGTCGCTCTACGTGCATTACACTTAGAAAGGGGGGCCTCATACGCATAGGCACGGGCGGTCCACAACAGCACGTCCTAGTGCTGTGATGCTATATGTAGTTCTAGTGGTAGGCGTGCGGCCGCCGGGTCGGTATGTTGCTGCTCGAAAGGGCGCTATAAGGATACCCTCCTTGGAAAATGCTACGCAGCGCCTGTTCAGGGTCACGGTATCCTGCCATGCCAGTCGTATTGATCCTCGTCTTTAGGGATTTATCGTGTCAACTGCCTTTAAGCGAAACCGACACCCTGAAAGAGCGCGAGAATTTCGTAATTAGTACAAGTTTTGCTGCTTCTGGTGCATCCTTTTCCACCCTCTCCAGCCATCCCCTAACCGTGAGTCTCCTCTGGCAAAATGTAGGGAAGAGGGGGGGGGGAGGTCACGTTGCAATCATTGAAGATAGCCGTATGACGTAGGGTGGATGGATGGTAGTTCGCCAATTTTCCTCACCACGTCATCAACATGGTGAGCTCTCCATATACAGTGCTGCCCATTGTGGATGCTGGGGCACGTTATAGAGTCTGGATTTTGAGCAGCGCCAGTCGTTTTTCACTGATTGTTGCACCTGCCCTCTTCATCAACAGCCGCGCCAAACCCACCGCCCTTTCATAATACGCAGCAGTATCTACAGCGAGCAAGACTGTATAATGCACACGGATGTTGTGGCACGGGGTCTTTTCTATGAATTTGCTTTTCTTGTAGAAGCAGACTCATACCTTACCAAATAGTCCATGGAACGCACCATACAACATATATGATTAGAAGGGAAGCGCTCGAGAAAGCCTTGAAAGCAGCGAGACGTCCGATCGAGTTTTGGAACGTTCAATGACGAGCCGTAACAACGAAGTCACCAGATGACATACTATTCCCACACAAGAAACCTTAAATGACATCCTTGAGGCAATATGCTCCCTTGAAAATCGAGAAATGCAACTCCGGATTTTTTCCATTCCTATGTGTTCAAAAACAGACATGCTCTGTGGGCAGATCGCTGCTGTAGAAGCGTACCACTTCCGCCACCGCTAAGGGCGGTGCAATGAAAATGGAGCGTTCCGAGTTGTGAGTTCTTTCCTATGCCACGGAACACGCATCATGAACAACTACAATTGATGTCGTCACACAGTCGGAGCGCTTTCAGGAGGTACAGGACAGATCACCTGTGCCGCTTTCTACCACTGGTTGCTTTCTTCCTTAAAGGCACAGTTCGCGAGCGCAAATTGTGGGAAACGGAACTCAAATAGGCACAAAAAGGTGCTAAGAACCTGATTAGCGGAGAGAAGCAGCAGAAAAAGCAGTCCGAAATCTTATAGAGAAAGATAACATAGTGGCTGCTAGCTAGTAGCCAGCAGCCGGTGAGGGTCGGCATGGGCCTAAACTTGCCTGGGTCACCCACTGCACCTGCTCTCACCTCTGGCTGGAATGCGATTTTTCTTTACTACGCAATGTAATGTAAGTAGCAGTTATTCTACTGCTTACATTTTCAGCGTGCCAACACATCGTGCAGCCTGCCTTCAGTAGTGGACAGAGACATAGCAAACATCCACCCAATCACCTTTTGAATTTGTCGCGCTCTCCAGAGTGGTTGAAGTGATACCCTTCTAGAGCGGCTGACTTCCCCTCTTAAAAGCAGCATTGGTCGACGGTTTTTTTTTCGTAGTGAGAAAAACAGTTCGATCAGATTACCGTCAGCAGAAGTACTCCCTCAATAATGGATATACGAAGAGTTTCTTCAGCCGTTCCGTTTCCGCTGCCAAACTCCTCCATCCTTCTATCAACAAATGCAAATAATGCGCGACGTGAATATGAAGTGACGACCCTGAAAAAAAATCGTGAAGAGTTTTTGGCACTCTAAAGAGTTCTTGGAACTGACGATGTTAACATGGACAGCAAATTGAAGGACCGATGTCGATTGTCGTAGTAAGCTAAGAGACCGTACTGTCCAGGGGATTGCGTTCACACTTCGCCATAACGCACTTTCTAGCGCGTCGTCGCGTAACTGCAGCAATCGTGCTTCGAGGCTACATTGGAAACGCAGCTACCGACCGGAAACGATCGGCGCTAGCCGCTGTTACTTTAAGAGAATGCAGGAGAGTAGGTTGGTAAAAGACAGTGTGGTTAGAGCGACATTAAACAGAAGGGTTAGCAGGGCGCTTGCCAATTCGATGACGCCAAGTCAGATGGTCTGAAACTCTTCTCAGGGAGACGAGCAAGAGAATCGTAATTCGCCGCTCCACCGCCTGCGGCGATGAGCGCGGCCTTTTGTTAACTCGAGTCAACGTGTCGATTGGAGCACCGGACTTCATGTAGACCCCGTCACCGGAGACATTCATGACTGTTTTCGGCTCCAAATTGCCTGTTGTCGCCATCTACTACCTGCAACCACCGTCATTTGTGGGCGCGACGTCACATGCGACGCCCACCAGCGCGGTGAATTACGATTCTCTTGTCACATATCCCTCTTCTATAAAGTTGTAATTAACTATTAAGAAACTATAGAGATTCACTAGTGAACATGAGAAAGGATTTTGAGCTGGATGTCAGCTAACATTTTCACGGGTTTCTGGAGATCATTGGTAAGAGAAGAGCCAGTTCTTCCAAGGAATTCGCAGAAACATTCGCAGATTCGCAGCTAATGAGCACTAGTTTAAGGGAGGTCTGAGGATCTGGAGGTTGACGGAATTACAGGGTCACACACTTGACCACCACGTGNGAAAGCAGATAATACACGGATCAGGTAAACGAGCGCTCCAATTTATCTGGGCGGTAGTAATTTGTCTAAATCTCGCACACTCAAATGTGATAAGTTGCTCGCAGTTATGCAGAACAATGTATGAGAGAGGCAACCACACTGGAAACAACGAGCTTCCCTAGGCTATTTGCAAAACTTCGCTCAGCGGTCGGTATCGATCTCATCACCATGCAAGTGGTAGCGCGCACAATTGTCGCTACGCTAACCATCAGTATTCCGACTTAGCGGCGGTCCCTGGTAACAAGCAATGAACTGAACATGGCAAACACTTATGTTTTCAGTCAAATTAGTTAGTCAAATTTTTATTTTTTATTCTCACCTCCATCCCCCTAGTCGATTAGGGTAATCGGCTACATCATTTCATATTCTAATGGCACATCTTTATATGATATTTGCATTTTTTCTAATCACCCCTTGTACCCGTTATACTAGAAAATATTTCACTTCTTTCAAAGTTTCTCTTCAACTGTGCAATGGATGGCCACGCCCTCCCCACATCTCGATTTACATTCCCTCGGGCCATCAACCCTACCACCCACTTTTGTCCTCCCCGCTATACCTAAGCCTGGGATCTAAGCATTTCTGGACTTGGAAAGCTGTAGAAGAACCCCCAACTCGCACCACAGAGATGGCCACCTTTGAAAAGTCCTCTGGAGGACTTTTCACTGCACAGAACGGCGACTATCTGCGTCTCTCCGTTTCGCGTAATGTCTCCACCCTAGTTGAGAACTCAAGTGCGACATCATAACGTCGCAGTTCAACGGAGGATAGCGTTTACCTCAGGTCGTGGTAACGACCACCCAACCTCGACCTTTCTTAATAAAGTCTCTGGAATAGGCGTTTTGGACAGTCGTCCTTACCGCGAGCTGATGGTTACCTGTGAAAAGCCAGCTTATGCCACATTACCACCGTCCCTGATCTCTTCCAGTTCGGCGGTCATCTATTTGCCCGCGGCAACCAAACTTTCCTCCCTTCCAGATTTAGCGTAAGATCAGTCGATGAAGATAAAAATACTAACATTGAAACGCTGCATATCACGGCTGAGTAATAGTTGATATTTAACTGCTATTTTGGACGACAGTAAATAGCATAACGTACCTTGGAAAGAACAAATCACGCCTTAAGGCTTTATCTTTCAGGTTTTGCACGGAAATGCCCATATAATGCTCAGAACTAGCAAATCAAGAAGGAAATCCAATGAGCTATGACGGACCTCCCGAAAAAGAAATGGAGCGAGGAATGGGCCTCTTCGACCTGTGATTGTCGCCCTATTAGAGGTCCAAACCGGCCCCACTCTAATGGCAAGAAAAACTGCTAAATCAAATGGGAAGCTCAAGTTGACAGAAGGACTCCGAGAATCCGCCTCAGATTTCAGCTACTGTGCGAAAATAACATAACACGATTGCGTAAGAAGCAATCACCGTGAATATTCATTATTAGCGCTTTGTGAGCTGTATGATGTATGGTATCCCGCTATATATAATCCGCTAAGTTTGTCTGTTGGTGTGTTTGTGTGCTTTTGACCGGAAATTCATAACTTTCTTCAAAGTAGCGATACAGCGCTCAAACTTATAAGTATTCTAGGGGATCGGGCAGGAACATCATTGGTGGGTGACAGGAAGTGATCACAGTTGATAAGATACCATAAGGGGTCTTATAAAGGCAAAGTCAGCAAATTCATAACGCGCGTCACAGCAAAGCTAAAGCGTTGGCTCCAAGAAGTAAGATAGGGGGGCAGAACGGGAACATTACTGGTGGGTGGCAGGACGTGATAACAGCTGATAAGATACCATAAAGAGCCTTAGAAGGTAAGAGTCACCAACTTCGTAGCGCGGGACATAGCAGCGGCGGAACGTTGATTCCAAGAAGTAGGATTAGTGGTGGGTGGGGACGTGATAATAGTTGATAAGATACCGTATACGTTCTTAAAAGGGGATCGCCAATTTCAAGACTCGCTTCAGAGAAACTGTAGAACGTTGGTTCCAAAAGTAAGACGGGGGGGGACAGGATGGGAACATTGTTGATGGGTGGCAGGAATTGATAACGGCTGATAACAGACCATAAAACCCTAGAAAGGGAATAATCAAGTGCGCCGCAGCGACGGTAGTACGTTGACTGCAAGCGATGAAATAGGAGGTACATAGGATGGGAACGGTGGGTCAGAGAGGAAGCTCCCAAATCTGTGGGCAAATACTTAGTGAGCCAAATGTTTTTATTCCTTAGCGATAGCCGAAATAGATTCGACCGCTAAACGCTCGAGTTGCACCCAAAAGTAAAACTCTAAAGATGTTTTCCAGTGAGGAAGATAAGAGCCATCAGCAAACGGATACGTGAAAGCTGCTCAACGGAAGCGCCAGGATATGAGGAGCTTACACTAAGTTCCCAATTACCGAAATTCTTTCAACCGCTAAGCTTTTCTACTTCCAACAAATGTTGGGTGTTTTTATAGATGTGATAAGCACTAGACATTGGCAAATGCTCATCAAAGTGAAATGTGATGAAATGGGCAGCCGTTCGAAACATGGGAATTAGGCCACGTTAGTGGTCTGCACGAAAATACTGTCAGTCAACACCATAGGTTTGATCATGCGTGCCGTAGTGCGTGTCAGCCAAACTGGCGATGTATGAGATGACATCGAGCAGGTAGGTGAGTAGTCTTGATTCCTAGAGTAGACTGTTCGATTATTACTGCGTAGACTTTCAGAGATGGTGAATTCATCTAGGGCTGTCATTATGACCACAACTGCTACCATGAAGAATAGATGAATGCAGGAAGTAAGAAGTTCCTGCAGAAAGCCTGATGCCAGACCAGTACTTCCAGACTTCCTCGAAGAAATGTTCAAAACAATGAGGTAAGAGAAGGGAGACTGTAGCATTTTGAAGCCCTGATCTTCCTTTTTTGTCACCCCAGAATGTTAAGAAACTGCTTCTCTGATCATGCCTTTACGCCAAGTGGTCGACAATCATGCTAATAGCCTCGTTATCAAAACCACTGGGCCCAATCTGCGGGCGGAATAGGTAGGCAGGGTCATTTTGCACTCGACTGGCCAATGCGATGTACCTCAGTCATCAAAGGCCCGTCTAGTCTTTCTTATTCGGTTCCGTCCTAGGCATAGGCTTTGGCAATGTAGGCGCATATCCACAACACCCTATTACTGCTTCCATACCAACTCCACCGCCTCTTCTCAGGTCGTTTCAACATTTTTTTAGTCACGATAGTAAAGAATCAGCTGATGAAAGCAGAGAGACGGCCACAGGAAGGTAGCAAAGCGAAGCAAATTACATGGGAAGTGTTAGGAAAAAAAATCAGTGGTAGTTCCACGATCTAGTTTCACACCTGATGTAGTGGGAATCCTATAGCCTGTATAAACCCACGCCTAGCTCTAATCAATACCATCTGCCACCCAGCCTAGTGCCTCTTTGTTAGACGTAGTCAATGCCGATGTAACACCGGCGCCGATATGATATAAGTACCCAAAGACCTAACATAATCCTAGATAAAAATGGTAGATGACATAGCGTTATTGATCACTCTCTATATACAACTCGCTTCGTCTGTCTGTTCGTTTGTTTGTTTGTCGGTCCAGAAATTCGGTTCGACCAGAAGAACAAATTGCAGAGGTCGGGTCATGGTGGGGTTGGGTAGGGGACAAGAAGTAAAGAGCGCACATGACTTATGCGAAGCCCCATCCACAGTGGGCCGGGCATGTGTCGAAAGTTGGCGGTGCTGCAGACAAAGGTTCATAATTTGCTTCCAGAACAGCCAGAGATGGGGAAAAATGGATTAAGGTTAGCAAGGGGTTGACTACTTAGGCGATACACTCCCGAAATGAGTGGGGAGTACCTGAGATGGGGTGCTACCCACAAAACTCAGTAACTCGGTTTCACGAGAGTTTAGAAATCTCAAAAAAAGTCGATGCAGAAGGGCAACATCTGAAAAGAGTTGGACACACCTGCGTGTTGGGACCCGCCCACAGTAGGCGGAGCTCGCCCTCAACCGGAGAGTACTGATTTTAAAAATTCGTAGGTTGGTTCCAGAGCATTCCAGAGACCGGGAAAAAAAGTGGATTAAGAACGGTGGCCGATTGAGAAGGGTTGGGACGCATGCTGTGGGAGGGTCTGCTCCGAGATAGGCGGAGCCAGACAAAAAAAATAGTGAAACGGTTCCAGGGCACACTGGGCACCTGAAAAAGTGCATTATGATCAGGAGGAGTACCTGTTGATGAGGGACGCATTCACTGTGAACTGAGCGTATGGCGAAGTAGGCGGGGCCATCCCTAAAAATTGTAGAACAGTTCCACAGCATTTCAGATAGCGGCAGAAGGTGGATGAAGATGTTGAGGAGCTAATTAAAGCGAGATAGACGCGCCCATTGTGGGCAGAGCTGTGCCAAGGAGGGCAGGCAAAAGTCAAAAATTCATGTGTTGGTTGCAGAGCAGCATATGCACCGGGGAAAAGTGCAGTGAGCTCCACAAGGGACTAGCAGACCAAATGGGCGAGACATCCCGAAAATGGATGACTCTCGAGGTGGCGGTGTTGCTGTGAAACCTTATAGGTTCGGATCTGAGTGAGTTCGAGGTTTGGGAAAAACCGTTTGAGAAGAGAGATGAACATGTGGGTGGAGCGTACCCTCAGACACGAGATACCTATTACCGCTGCGTTAATATATAAACCGCCATGCTCTTGAGCACTATTGTCACTTCTACATTTGGTACCAGTCGCTTCGCTAGGTGACGCAGCGCGACTCCCCACTCTACGGCTATGCTTTGTCGGTTTTGCTTGGCTTGGTCGTGCCTACCTGCATTCGTATGTTCGTATGCTCAGCTAATGAACGGTTTTTTTCTCATCTGCGCATTTGATTAACCCTGCTTACCACCATCTCGTGGACGTGATAGTGTTTGTTGAATAGTTCAAGGCGATAGTGGTCATTGCTCGCCAGTAGCACGGTGGGTGGTCTGCCAGTCATGCCTGAGGGGCAAGTGAACTGGTTTTGGCGCCCAAATGTTGATCTCATGGGGGTATATAAACCCCACCATTCTTCTACTGCTGACTCTGCCTCCGGATCCAACAGTGTCTTAAATAGCAGGTATGATGTTACTGGTTAAGGAGCGTTGACTATGGGTACAAGTGAAAAGAAAGCTGGATAATCGCTGAGTATCCGAAAATGTGAAAAAAAGGTACGCCGGCGAAGCCGAGCCGCATCATAGAAGGATGCGCGCCGGCTGGTGTAATATAATATGTTAATGAGAGTTTGTTATTCTAGCCGCAATGCTGACTTCCTCTTCATCGGCATGATGCGCGATGATACGCAGGCCACAATCACCTAATACGGGCATGCTCACGGGAGAGGGTTCAGACAACTGACATGTGCAGCCAAGGTTGGCTTAGGTTTGGCGGTATGGCGCATGGTGCAGCAATGATTTTGGCATGGTGTGTCGACTAGTTAGGGCGAATAGAAAGAAAATGGAGCCATCGCAAGCCTCTAGGTTCGCTGCAGCGCACCAGGAACAGGAATTTTGTCGGTCAGGTAATGGTGTTGCACGAGTTTCAACACCGTCTGAGACTTCGCTTGTCTGTTGCCACAGATGCAACTGCTCCATTTAGGATTCGAAAGCAAAGGTCCTTTCTCCAACAGAACGACAGGAGTACAGGAGTAAATTGGGAAATTTTTGGAAGATAATTACCCTCCGAGATTTCTTTGGAGAACACATCTGGCTGGAATCGTTGTTTTCAAAGCTCGTTCCAAAGGATCCTATTCCCAATGAAATCAATACGATCGCCGATCGCAAGAATAATGCTTTAATCATTTCAAGATGCGTTCATACGATAAATCTTTCAATGGAATACAAATGGGTTTAAGACCACTACACCGAATTTTTTCCTTCCATTTTTTGGAACTGCCCCCATGCTCAGGATGTTCATTACAAGCTGTAAGGATATGAAGATAGATACACCCCGATTTCCAGCCTTGGCAGTGAGTAATCCATCCCAAGTTTCTTAGCCGATTCTAGAAAATATGTTAAGAAACGTACCTAGTTTCATAGAGAGAGAATACCAACCTCAAGCTCGCCCAGCCCTTCAGTGCATGTCATCAAAGTGGACAGAACAATATCAGAGGGCAAACCGATACACCAATACACAGGGACTCTCCATGAATTCT